TTCAGTATTTAGGGTTTAGAGTTTAGGGTTTCAGGATTTAGGGTTTCAGGATTAAGGGTTTAGAGTTTAGGGTTTCAGGATTTTAGGGTTTAGGTTTTACAGTTTCAGGATTAAGGGTTTAGAGTTTAGGGTTTCAGAATTTAGGGTTTTGGCGTTTAGGGTTTCAGGATTAGGGCTTAGCGTTTAGGGTTTCAGGATTTAGGGTTTCGGAATTCAGAAGTCGGGGCTCAGAGTTTAGGGCTTCAGGATTTAGAGTTTAGCGTTTAAGGTTTCAGGATTTAGGGTTTAGCGTTCAGGGTTTTTTTTTACAACCCTTCGGACTTTTCGTCTGCCTGGCTCGGCAAAGGGTTCTCACCCTGGGAACTTAGAAAGGTTCAGGTAGACAGCAGGTGAGTTGCAAGTCTATACTGGAGTTTCTACGGGAGCACACTCAAGCAGAAAAGCAGGCACAGAAGTTCACGCGCCCTTAGCTCCCCCAGGTCCCTGCAAACTCACAAAACTTCGGCAATAACTTGCTCCACAGGGTTTAGCGTTTAGGGTTTCAGTATTTAGGGTTTAGAGTTTAGGGTTTCAGGATTTAGGGTTTCAGGATTAAGGGTTTAGAGTTTAGGGTTTCAGGATTTTAGGGTTTAGGTTTTACAGTTTCAGGATTAAGGGTTTAGAGTTTAGGGTTTCAGGATTTAGGGTTTAGCGTTTAGGGTTTAGCATTTAGGCTTTCAGGATTTAGGGTTTAGGTTTTAGGGTTTCAGGGTTGAGGGCTTAATTTTGGTTTTAGGGCTTACAGCTTAGGAGGGGTGATCCAAAGGTCCTTTTGGAAAACCATTTACGGTTCCTGTCGGCCCATAAGGAACAACGTAGAGGACAGCATTTTTTTCATAATGGCCACTTTGGGATTAGGCATTTTGATCAACTACCAAATACATGCTGTGGTGTCTACTGCAAACCGCTCTGCTTACATTTGATAATTTTCATAAATGGGCAGACCAAAATATACTGTTTTGCAAACCCTAAACCCTGAAGAGTAGCTTCCATTTTCTTTTGCATGATCCCAATATATCCCCATTGCCCCCAATTTTTGGAAATCCACATCTAGATGTTCAACGCAGATGGTACTGGCGGGGCGAGCCTTGAGAAAGGCATCCCCGTCTTGCGAAGCTCCTCCTGAAGTCAAAAAGGGTTTAGGGGGATTGGGCTTCGGGTTTAGAGAGTCCACCAAAGCCAACAACGCGGGGCATTTCGAAAGCACAGACATGCAGCTGGCGCCTGCAAAGCTGTGAAGCTCATCGCAGCAAAGGGAATACCTGCAAGCCTGCTGCCATGCAGAGCGCAAATCGCACACAAACAGCTGCTCCGCTTCACGTCAAGTATACCCGCGCCTGCGCGAGAGGAAAGCCGCTGGCTGTTCTCAAAGTGCGCCCATGCCCAGCTGGAAGTGAGCCGAATCAAAAAGTGGTGTGCCAGGCCCATGCATCAACATGTGGATAGCCTCCGCGGCCTTCAAATCACGTCACAAAAGCATACAAAAGCTGAGTTGCCACCACCGCATCGAGTAAGAAACCTGCATTTTACTTGCTGCTCATGACGCTCGCTGTCTCTGCCTGCCACTTTCGCCCACTTATGCGGGCCAGCATGGGCCATCAGGCCGCGGAAAAAACGTTCTAAGGAGCATGGGGCTAATGTTTCAAACGGCATCTTGTTGAGGCCACGCCCCGCAGAGCTGACATTAGCTCTGCCATGCATGCTGCAGGCTCCAACACTTGACTGAGCCCTGACGGCCCTCGCTAGCAGAGCATGCCAAGTAGATCTAAGTAGACTAGGGCTACCCATCTGAGCATCTAAGCCTCAGAGCGGCATTTTGATGTTCGTAGCCGTTATGGAATGTAAAGCTTCAAAGCATGTATGCTGAAGCAGCGCCAGGACGAACCAAAACGTCAAGGTTCTGCTGCAGGCAATTAAATGCAGCTACTTGTTCTATTTCTACGGTCGGTTGCCCATCCTCTCCACCAGGAACTCAATAGGTGTCCCATTCGTTCGGAGGGCCTACCAGTGGGTCGAGTCTTTCCGCCCATCAAGCCTGCAGGTGTGAGTTTTAGCCTATACAATGAATGGGCCTCCTTGCAACTGGCGATTCCAGCCAGGAGCGCTTCCTCCGCCAACATCATGCTTTGGCACTTTTACAGCCTTACACTTCTGCATGCCTCTTGCAAAAGGTGTCCTGCGTGGGAACTCGCTGGCGTCCGACTGCCAGGATACAGTCACCAAGTCGCCACCCAAAGCGGGCTGCCTGACCAGGGCGGAAGAGTTTGATTTTCCTAGGTCCGGCTGTAATTCTTCACAAAAAAGACTGGCTGAAATGACGTGGGCCGGATGCTGCCCGTCAATACAGCTAGTCTTGAGAAATAGCGCTGAGTCCGGCTGCAAATTCTTGCCCACCACGAGCTCAGTTTGAAAGAAAGATGTGAGGACGCTGCACGCAAGAGCTTGCTCTTGAATCTAGATGACATGCCGAGCGCAGTTTTGAGTCTAAGTGCGAGGACGCTCCACGGAAGAGCAAGCGTTTCGAAGAAAAATGTCAGGAGGCTGGAAAGGAGAGCTCGCTTTTCGATCAAGATGTCAGTGAGGACGTTCCATGCCAGGGCCTAATCTTGAGCCAATTTGTTAGGACGCCACACAGAGGAATCATATATCAAGCGACGCGGCGCCAATCTTTGCAACAAAGGCCAACACGATTTCTGGCCAAAACGCGTGGGTGCTCCATGCGAGAGGTCAATTTCCGAAACCAGAACGCGAGAGGACACTCCATGCGCGAGCTGAAATTGTAGCCGAAATGCGAGGACGCCTTATGCAAGAGCAAGATTGTATGCCGAATTGCCAGGGCGCTCTACGCGAGAAAAGGATTTAAGGCCGAGGGAATTCAGGGACACTTCGTGTGAGAAGGCGAAGTCGAGTCAAAATAAGACGCTCCACCTGACAAAGAGCACGATTTCCAGCTCGACGTGAGATGAGGAAGCCGTCACAGTGGCATGTTGCGCCACCAAATAGCAGGAGTTATGCACGAGCGGAGCTTAGAGAAAGCATGCTGCGTAGCTCCCGCTCAAGAGCACCATTTCCAGTAGAAATGTGAGGAAGCTGATAGGAGAGCACAATGCTGGGCATGCTGGGCCAAGCAAAACAGCATCAAGAATAGGCGCGACTCAAAGGAGCCGATAGTCAGCTCCCGCAATCACGTCTTTTTTTTCAAGTTCGGGGTCGGATAGGTCGGGCACTCGCAACATTTCAGCGGAATCTCAGCGATTCTCGAAGATGAACTGCACCTATTTTAGGGATTGCATCGTTCAGATGTTTGTTGGGAGGGATTCACTCGCAATGACATGTGATATAGATTCGCGACGAAAGAAATGATGAAATGACAAAGTTATGGGGGGGGCAGCGCCCCCTCCACTTGTTTGACTAGTAGGCATGATACGGGTTCATGTGTGAAAAAAGGGGGGATTGGGAGGCCCCACCCCGCTCCCATTTGCAAACCATTGAAAAATGTGGCGATTGTTGATGATGATTCCTTGCGGTCCTGCTTGCTTCTTTCCTGGCTCCCTGTCTCCCCCCTTGCAATCATGAGTCCTTGCAGCCGAAATCTCCAAAAAGGACAAAATGATACTAATACCGCAAGAAAGAGCAAATAATTTTAGAATTGTTCGTATGGCTCATATGAGCATTATTAGTATGTTCATGTTATGATGGTTATTCGTGTTATTACTTTTTGTTGTTAATATTGTTAGCCTCAGCGACATTGTTAATACTAGTCAGATCACTGCTGCTGCTACAGTAGGAATTGTATCGTTGAGATGTTCGTTGGGCAGAATTACAAGGGCTTCACTCGTAAATGGACAACATGATACGGATTCGCGAGGGTTTGGGGGGGGGGGGCAGCCCTCCCATTTGCAAACCATTGAAAATATGGCAGTTGTTGATGAGGATTCCTTGCGCTTCTTCCTGCTTCGTGTTCTTTCCCTGCCCCCAGTCTTTTGATTTTTTGGTCCCTTGCGCGGGGCCACTAGAGTCCCAGGTTGCGAAGCCGCAGCTGAACTCATGCCAGCCGATGGCCTTTCCACAAGCAAGAAGCGCCGAAAGGCCACTCTCCAACATCAGAGTACAGTAACAAGGAAAAGACCCTTACAGGAAAAACAACTCCAGGTGCAGGTATACGCGTGGGTGAAACCTTGCTGGCAGCGCAAGGGCGCGCGTGGACGAAACCTAGCTTGTCACGAGCCGGTCCGCCCAGGAAGCTCATGGGCACCCGCGCAGCCAGGACAAGCCGAACGGCACGGGGGCGACGTGGGCAGGGCGACGGCCGCCCGCTCCCAGGATTAGCGTTGAGCCAGGAACCGTCGGTTTCCACAACCATCGCAGAATCCCAAGAACCCAGGCAAAGGAGCCATGGCAACATCGGGAGGCGGGAGACGTCTTACCAGCCTTGAGCCTACACCCTAAACTTGAGCCAGAAGACCGCTTGTGCTCCTTGCTTCCTTCCTTGCGTCCCTGCTTCCTTGCAGCCAAAGCCTCCACTAATAACAAAACCATACCCAAAAGCAAAATCCCTAAAATGACTTGGAGTGGTACTAGATTTGTGCGAGTCGTTAGTATCGTGCATTGCATGGATAATCTTTTCTGCTAGTCATGTTGGTGGCATTTTCAGTATTAGTCGGATCATTGCGACTCACGGACCGACCGATAAACGACCAAACGACCGAACAAGTGACCAACCGACGGAGCAGCAAGACGCCAGGTAATACAGTAGTTTTCATGTTTCCATTATCCCTATATAACCCCCTATTTAACCCCAATATATACCCTATGATACCCCATATAACCCCAATATATACAACCAGACCTAAACAACAAAGCCGACCGAGAGGGAACGACCGACTGACTAAGCGGCGACCAACTGGCAAGGTCAGCTCTTTCTAGGGCAGACCTACACTGCCCAGGCAATACAGCCAGATTTCAACGTGTTTGATGGCAAGAAGACACACCAGATCACAGCAGGAAAATGCTGGAAACCAATATGGATTTAGTATCTGAATCTCTCCCCTTCACCCGGTCAAATAAACAAAACAAAGCATCTAATCTAATCAATGAATGAACACGTGAGAGCAGTCAATGTCGATGGAACCATTTTGCACCCATCTTCAGGCAGCATCCTTTCCACATAGTCACAGTGATTACTCGCTCGTTTCGCTCCTTAACTGCGGCGAACCATCACTGGAAGGAGAAGGTGGGGACACAAGAGCTCTTGAGTGGGTTCAGATGGCTCAACTGAATTAAGCACTGGTAGAAACAACATGAGTCGCACGGAAGCTCATGGGGACTTGGGAGGATACAGCCAGAACTAAAAAAAAGAAAGCGCCCCTGACCAAGCGCAGCCCACAAGTATGACAGCGCAGTCTGCAGACAGCCTGCTCTCGCGTGAACGCTGTGACGACACGACTTTCTATCCGAAGGCCGAGCGTCCTGAGAGTGGCAGATGACAGCAAGATACGAATCAAGTCTTGACTTCTTGACGTTTAAGTCTGAAGCTTCTCGGCACCGATAAGCTCTGCAATGACTATCTTCACCTTCAAAAGCTGTGGCCAGAAGTGATCACATGTGCCCGCATGATTCTGCATGGCACTCCCAAGCAGATACGGACATCACCGGGACCCCGGCAAGATGAGTCTCCTGCACTGGCACAGCTTTCTCATCTGTGCCGGTGGCCTGATTGGCAGTTCGATATCGTTCGCCCGCGTGTGCTCCTAACCCGGCACCCTGTGACTGGCTGTGCTGCTTGTTGATTCGACCCGGTACATTACTGGCTGGCTCAGAGTCTAGTGGGGCATAGGAAGTTGTTTCACACTTCAGCCACCTTATATCCGCCCAGCATCTCTGTGCCGAGATCAAGTTTGCATGACATGGGTTGCAGAATATAGCAGTACACAACGTTTTGTATGCTTTGCCTCGGCCTGCCTCAGGGACCTCAGATCAGCTTTGACTGAACATCCAAAGCGAGACCTCCCCTCATACATGCGGGCTGCAGAGAAGATAGGTTGACTTGCCACCTTTCTCGCCTGAGTCCTGATTCTCTCTGCAGCTACTGCAAGCAAGGAGCTGGATAAGACTTAGGTAGTTTCCCAAAATTGAGGGACCCTAACGTAGACCCCTGCCAAAGTACTATAAGCCTTTTTCTAGGGACCGCCAAAATGTAGATTTAACTCATGAAATGTGTTGGTCTGCGCCGTCCCTTTGACGTGAAACAGCTGAGGCGCCAGCAAAATTCAAGATCCCGTGAACACCATCCGCAATGCCAGTCACCGTGTCGCTCACGAAGTCTGACACTATGTCCACCTTGGAGCGATTCTGAACGGCCTATGCAATCAGTAATGTGCTGCATGTGTGGGGATTCTGTCATGTGTGGCGAGAAAAAAATGTCGTGCAGCTGTCTAAAAGGCACGCCGCCAGACACGCAAGCTTTTTGTGGCACCGCTGCCGTGATGAAACGTTATCCGTCTTGAGTCATGGAATCGGGCGCGTCGCCCTAAGAACCCAACACCAAACCAAAATCAGCAGCCACGGGATCAATGGATGACAAACAGCACCTGCCATGAAGACGGAGGCCATACCTTAGCAGAAGCATCTCGGCTACATTAGACAGACAATGATGCCGCTTTGACCCCTTGCTTGCCTCTGGTCAGCTAAGCAACCAATTGCAATTCCCAGAACAGTGGCAGAAGCTCCGGCCGTCTTCTCACCGAGAAATCGGTGCTGCTTGATCTGAAGGCCTGCTGCAACAACACCTGTACAGGGACAAACCCAAAGCAATCTTGAGACAATAACCAGAAGGGAAACTTGAACGAGTTCTTCCCAGTGCCTGCCAAACTCAGGCAGAAGATGCCAAGCTGCTGCCATGCGAAGCTCCGCGGATGAAGCAGTAGGTCACCAAAAAAGTCACCCAATTTTCGTACAATGCCCACAATGCAGTCAAAGGGCTGGAAGAACCTGAGTGCGCCCACGCTCTGTAGTCAGCAGTTGACTACTACATGCATGCTTCTGTCTGGACATTGGCAAGTATCATATTCCAAAGAATAACCTTCGCCAACTTCACAATAAAAGAAAAATATTGGTGAAACTTTAGGCAACCCTGGACCGGACTAGTCCTGTTTAGGCAACACGCAGATCACAAACGTGGGCCAATGGCACCACGACAAGAACTGAGAATTAAGATGTCAGGCCCGTTCAGCAGCATACGTACAGGATTTCCTGCATCGCCAAAATGTACCCCTATATACAAACCTATATACCCCTTTACAACTCCGAAAGCGCCCCCTACCTCTACATAAACAAGGCCAACCCCAGCAGCCACGGAGTTCGTGTCTTTGACAGCTGGTCCAGGTGAGATGACAGCGCGGCCACCCGCGCCTCCAACTGCTCGACTCCCCGTAGGAAGTCACTTGCGCTTGCACTCTTCAAGCCTGGCTTCAGTCTGTAGGTTTTAGGGTTTAAGGCAACATGCAAGAGTAGCACAAGGGACAAACTAAGACGCCTGAGGGTTGGGGCTTAGGTGTCACACTAACAAAGCTAATCCGGCTTGAGCTCCTGCCTGTTCCCCTCCCCTTATATGAACCTGCCCTTCCCCCCCTGAGCTTCAATATTTCCATGTATTCCCATTGAAGATGAATACACAGGGAATAGCTAATGGGGTTGGGGAAGTTTAATAATTTGAGGGAGTATGGGTGAAGGGAGTCTTAATGTGTTACGGGTATCCGAGGGCCTCCGTCCCCCCTTCTACACCAAATGCGAGTTTCTCAAAAGTGGAGGAGGCCATAAGGCCCGAAATTTCTCTCATAATGATCCTGCGTATGAGGATTCTATATGAGTGATGTAGGTTTATGTAGAGGTCTCATATGGTAAACCGCTCTCATTACTGTAGTTACTTCATGTTGATTTATGCCAGTCCTGGTTCGTCTTCCTGGTGCACATGGAGGGCTGGGGGCTGGATGTTCCCTCCCCCAAACCCCTCCCCCAGTAGCTGCCACCTTGCATTTTTGGTATTTGGCCGGAGAACTTCGGTTTCTATAAGAAACCCAGCGATTGTGGCCTCCAGGAACCGGACAGGAAGTTTTGCTGAGGAAACAGACCAGGAGAGGACGAAGCAACCACGACAAGAAAAGTATTTCCGTAGCACGACAGAAGTCACTCGTACAACGACGCCTGCCACACCCCGACAAGGATCTGGTAGTGCATTGGGCGATGAAAGCTTGAAGGGAAGTTTGTCATCATGGGTAAAGCGTCTAGCTGTCAGTTCCCCTGTTTTTTTCTGAACGGGCCATGTGCGCAAATACTTCATTTGAAGGTTTAGCCAAACACATGGATGTGTGCATGCGCCTTATGCGTTGTATTGGGATTCATACTAACAACCAAAACAGGTTCCAAAGAGTCACTAAACCCTAAACCCCAAATAGCAGTTTCCATTTTATTTTCCATTTTCCATTATCCCAATACAACACCAATACAATATACCCCTAGCACTACCCCAATGGGTACCTGAACCTAAGCCCTAGACCCTTAACCCCTATATACCCGATATTGCCTCTATATTACCCAATATAAGCCAACATACTACAGTGGTTGGAGGGGGTCTCTTTGGGGTCTTCAGGCTTAGGAAAGTTGTAGCGTTCAGGGTTGAAAATGTTTGGCGCATGTGGCATCCGGGTTTGGGGTTTTGGGTCTTGGGTTTAAGGTAGGATGTTCAGAGCTCAACGTCCTATTCTCTTTTTTTGCGCCATCAACTCTTGCACGCCTTTTCCTAATGTTTAGGCTACGAGATGCCGAGAGCCGCTTTGGGCAAAATTGGGATATTCAGGGGAGGGGGTCATGAAGGGATATGGGATGATATGAGGAAACTATTAATTTAGGGTTTAGGGTTGAGGGTATATGTTGGAACAGAAAATGGAAACTACTATCATGGATAATCACATGGACAAGAATACACACAACGTAGTGAAAACTAGGGCAAGTTACTGGGTTTCACGATTCTTGGGTTTGGAATGCCTCCAGGGATTGGAGCTTTGAGGGTTTCAGGCTCTCAGGGCTTAGAACGTCTAAGTCGTCAGGCTTCAGGCAGTTGATTGCTCAGGAGAAATGGTGTTTGGCCTGAAGCTTGTTCGGATTTCGTGGCCTGCGGCATTCTGGCCGTTTGCTACCTTAAGTTTACAGGATTTGCGGCGCTTGGGGTGTAGAGCTCTTAGGATTTTGATTTGGGGGGGTTGAGGGCTGCTCGGGTTTGGAGCTTTACGCGGAAGCCCTGACTGCTCATACAGATCCTTCTAGACATAGGCCTTGAAGTATCACACCTCGCATGGTTTGCTGACGACAAGTAGCGTTAGCAGCGGTCACAATTGACCAATGGTATAGAAAGCCACAGTGCATTTCGTTTTGAGCGTTGGAGACGGTTACAGGGTTACACTTGAACCGGCGGCCTTGAGCCGTGACCGAACAGCTTGACAAGCATGTAGTTTCCATTTCATATTGCCTTTTCTTGTAATTTGATTCTCCGCTTTTCGGATTACACACCCCCATATAACCCCTAGGTAGCCGCAGAACAGTATCTTTGAGGGGAAACCCGAAGCCCTAAGTAGTAGCTTCCATTTCTTTTCCATTATCCCAATGTATCCCATCACCCCTAATTTTGGGAAACTCCACCCTAAACCCTAAATCTATAGCCTCTTGCCCGGCTTGCCTTCAGCTGTGGCTTCAACTTCCTCAACGAGGACTGACCTTCCTAGTTGAAGCCTGGCTTGCAAAAGCGTCACCTGCAAACGGGGAAGAACCCAGCCAGAACTAGGGGTACCTTTAAGGGGGTTCAGGGGCTATACATAGGGTTTAGGGTATAGAGTTTCCGAAAATTATGGGTAATGGAGGTAAAATGGAAGATACTGTTTGGGGTCTAGGGCGTAGGGTTTCGCAGAATTAGGGATTCTTTTCTGGGGGTCCCATAATAAGTATTGTGAATTTGGGGATCTTCGGGCTTCCCCCTACATCGGAAAATTACTAAATGTGGCATGTGAGGATGGTGTTGAGGCAGGCAATAGCATGGTGGCTCAACATGGGGAAGACTTTTCTGCCCTTTAGTGATGACGTAGACGTCAACCTGTTCATCATCCACCACTCCTCCCAAACCAAAGCCTTAGCCCCTACCTTAGCCACAGGCACTTTCACAAATATGGCTCAAGCCTGTCTGCTTCAGGATATTCTACGCTGCAAGTTAGGCACAGCTGCAAGTATGAGTTGAAGCGACCGGATTTTGCGGCAGCCTGCATCTCGGCAACCTCGTGTTCGATGGTGTCGATTCCAGGGCCTATCCACTCGCCTTTTACCACAAGGAAAGCAAGAAAAAGCCAGCACCGCCTCCATGGCAAATGGAAGTCAACCATGACTTTGAGGCTCGGCTCATCAAGAAACCTCTTGCCCGAGGGGTATCGGTTCGGTCTTGAGCCGCATTAAACCCGGCCCGGTCGTCAATGTCGCCTTCCTTCCTTGCTGCTTAGCTAGCCTAGCCTAGGCCTGTTCCTCGAAACTGCCACTGGAAAACAACAGGCCAAGGCAGCAAGGGAGGGAAACACTGGAGGGCTTGATTAAGGCAAAACAGCACCCAGATACCAGCTGACGTTCGCCTACGCGTCCAAGAGTTCACCGTCTAAGGTCGACGGTCATGGCATACCGGCATATGAGCTATAGTAATATCCCCCTTGAGGAGCCCTATCATACTCCCTGTATCATCCCTTATGTAACCCATTGAAGGAGTTCAGACTATAATTCGGCCATTGTTAAGTTCTTACTGTTACTATGCACTATTGTAATTACAATGTTACTAGCAGTATTGCTACTATTGCTGCTGGTATTGCTACCGTTCTACTAGTATTACTGGCATCATTTCAATGGTTTGTGTTTATTATTCCAACTACTATAGCTTTTATTCTTTCTGCGATGATTAGTATTGGGATAGTTAGTATTGGGATAAATGATATTTACTACCATTACTGCTACAACTAGTCCTCCTCCTACTCCTACTCCTCCAATCTCTACTGCGATTGCTACGGTTGGTACTGTACTAATATGAATGTTATTACGTGCATTATGCCTATTGTTCGTACTACTATTATTGCTATCGCTATGGGTGTCACTATTACTACTACGATTATTGTCACGGCTATTATTACGATCATCGTTGTGGATTCCTTCACTATGACTATTAATTACTGCTATGATTACCATTACTGTTGGTGTTCTCCGTTCACTTATTATTATGATCATTATTCAAACTACCGTTATTACTACTAATATCTCTGCTATATTATTCCGAGTAGACGTAAAATTTTGTCGCTGCAATGATGATTTTCTCACTTCCAGCAGTCTTCCAAAACCTATGGATCTAAGCCGGGTTTGAAGCAGATTCTAGCGAGGTTTCTTCTTCCACATCACTTAGTCTGCACAGCTTCAGCCGACAACCTCCATGCAGCACACGGACTACCCTGGAACAAAACAGGATTCAGGACTCGAAGAATAGCGTGACCAGCAAAACCAATAACAAAAAGAGCAATCGCCATAGCAGTAGTAGGAGTAGTAGTAGTAGTAGTAGTGGTAGTAGTTGTTGTTGTTGTAGCAGCAGCAGCAGCAGCAGTGATGATAGTAGTAATACTAGTAATGATGATGATACATGCAATAATCACAGTAATAAGCAAGTATGTTATCGCAGTAGGGCAACGAAGACAACCAGGCTCCGCACGGCATCAGCCACGCCATCACCAACTGCTCCAACGACACCTGACAATCCCACACGGCTTAAGGTTTAAGGTTTAGGGTTGAGGGCTTAGGGTTTGGGTTAGACTTTAGGGTTTCGCGTGTTGGATGTAGGGTTTGCGTCAAGTCTGCCAAGGCGTGCCAACATGAATTTTCCCTTGCTCCTTTCCTGGAATGCTGCGCGCTTTAGTACTATTACTATTACTATTACCATTACCATTACTATTACTATTCCCATTACTATTACTATTACTATTATTACTATTATGATTACTGTTATTATTAGCATTATTCAATATTAGTAATATTACTCGTATTAGTATTACTATTGCAGCCCAGAACCACCACACCGCAGCGACGCCTTTGCGTTGGAGGTCTTTGGCAGTACCGTCCAAGCCCTGACTTTCGGAACAAAACATGCTGAAATGCGATGCGCACTTCAGTAGCCCAACACCAAAGACTATACAGACTAGCATACGAGAGTTTGCTCCATGTCCAATGACATGAGCTTCATGGCACCTGATCGACGGCGCCTACCACGCTGCTGACCCCTGAGCCGACAAGGTCCACGGCATCCTGGTACGCAGGTCTCCTTTGGAGGTTTCTGCAGGGTCCAAGCACTGGCCGTCCTCCGCTGTCGAGGCGAGCTTGTCCTGAGCTTCTCGAAAAGCAAGTGAACCTGCAATGTCATTCTGACTGTCATCAATCCCAGCTCCTCGGCGTTCTTAGTGATGCCCAGAGTGTCAGTGACGAGTCCGACGCCTGAACGGTTGTCTGTTGCTAGTTGCCTATCTCTCGTCTATCACGCGTCCAGACAGCTGTCCAGCTGCCAATACGTTCTTCAAGCCTCCGAATGCCGCTCCACCAACAAACTTGGTAGCATCACCTGGGCGTAGTTTGTCTTGAGGTGGTCTAAGCAACAAACCCTGGGGCATGTACCTGTGGAATGCACCGCATCCTTTTTAGGTACCTGGCCTACTGCACGGCCTGTCTCCGTCAGCAGATCTGTGTCTTCCTCCTCAGCTTAAGACATTGTGTTGATTCGCAGATTACTCTTTCAATTCTTCTTGCTATTCATGTATTCGTATACTATCTTCTTGGTAGTAGTACTGTAATGCTAGGCATGCTACTCCACAGTGACTATAACTTATAAATATTGTTATCAATGTTATTATTCGTGTTGTTGTTACTATTCCTTGAGAACAGACAGTGAAGCACAACACTTAGCCAGATTGAAAAGGCCAACACAGGGAGAAGGATCACGGCGGGTTTCTGCTCATCAGCTCTGAGATCCCACCTCAGCGCGGGATCACCGTTTCCAAGTGGCAAGTATACTACAAAACTCCAGTGCCATCTATAGACTAGTAATTGAAGGAGGATATAGGCTTTAACCTAGTTATAGCTTGAGTGTCTTGCTACCTAGCCACGTCCTGGAGAAGTGCTTAGATTGCCTGAGAACTTTGCTCCAAGGGCCTTTGGTTCTGCAGCACGAAGTCCTGCAAGGCAAGAAGACAGAACCATAAAAACCACTCCTGTCCTCTCATCAACACCATGCTTAGGTTCAGGTTTTAGGGCTTAGGGTTTAGGGTTTAGGGTCCCAAATCAACCTTGGTTACCAGTAGGTCCCTTTAAGGAGAGGTAGTAGCAGTATACCTTAAGCGGAATTCAGGTGTATGGTAGAACTTCGACTTGTAATCCACAGGAGTGAACAGCAAAGATATGCACTTGCCAATATTCCTGAGGAGACCAAGATGCACTCCTGAATCATCCCAGTTTCTGTGACATTGTCCATGTTCTTTTCCCTGTGAGTACTCGTTATCACCCTACGTCCTGTAAATCTATGTATATGTATGTCTACATATATGCATATAGATATATGTATGTATGCCCACCTTTTCTCGTGTAACCCTGGTTCCCATGTAATTTTCCATTTTGAAGTCCCTATTACAGAAAGCTCGCAAAACTGACCCCTAAGTTTTGGATACTTCCATATAATATATCCTTAAGGGGATCAAGATGTATGTTCCCTAAACCCTGAGGCCTGAATCTCATGGTTCTCCCCGCACCTTAGCTTCTAAGGTCTTCTCACAGATTTTCGTCGAAGGCATTGACCTTCAGAACGGAAAACAAAAGATGAGTTTAGAAAAAGATCGCAGCAGGTCGTGCGCGTAGTTTGGGAAATGTGCGTGACAGTTTCTCCATCCTTCAGTTTTTAGACCACTCACACGCTCCCGTAAACATAAGTTTGTCAAAAAAAATCTGAGCAAAAATGAAAATGTTGGTTGCTGAAACGCGAGCGCTGCAAGCTGCAGAAAACGTGCGCGAGATGAATCTGTAGATGAACTCTAAATCCTGAACCCTACAATCTAAACGCTAAACTCTGAACCCTGAACCCTAAACCCTGAAACCTAACGCTAAACCAAGAACCCTAGACCCTTAATCCCAAACCCTGAACCGTAAACCCTGAACCCTAAACCCTACGATGCCCTGTAAGTTCCTCTCCTTGGCTCGCTGGTGTGGCGTTAACTCAGCTGCCTTCTCCAGGCGGCCTTCGGGAAGCTTGTCCTTAAAGCCCGGCACCAACTCCTGGAACTTCTCAACTTTAGGGTTTGGAGTCTAGGGTTTGCGTTTAAGGTTTCGGGTGTAGGGCTTTCCTTTTAGGGTTTGGAGGGTAGGGTGTTTAGGGTGTAGGGTTCCCTCTTAGGGTTTGCGGTGTCTGAGTCCTTGCAAATCTCTATGAGATAGAGCGCGTTGAGGGCTCCAGCCTCCAGGACTCTGCTTGCACTCCCTCTTCTCAGAACCTGTTATCCTTTCACTTACCTCTGGTTAGCTAAGGAATGGATCCCTATACCGTACCGGATTATAGTAGCCCCTGTCTAATCCCCAATGCTGTAGAAGTTTCCATTTTCTTCTCCATTCCCTTATATCTGCCCGTATAACTCCCAAAACTATAACTCTAGTCTCGCTTTCAGTTCTAATTGTCCAAGTTCTTGTCCATGTGATTCTCCATTTCAGTAGTAGTTTATGTTCTTTTCCATCAGGTAAACCACCCTAAACCCCTAAACCCCTAAACCCTGACCCTAAATCGTAGTTTCCATTTTCTTTGATCCCCTGAAATCCATATATATCCCTATATAACCCCTAAACCCTACACGTTAAACCCTAAGTTCTGAACCCTACACCTTAAACCCTAAACCTTAACCCCTCAACCCTAAATTGTACATTCTGAACCCTACAAACCCTACACCTTGAACCGTAAACCCTAAATTACCTTAAACCCCAAATCCTGAACCCTAAATTCCAAATTCTAACCCCTACACCTTAAACCCTAGACCCTAAATTCTAAACCCTACACCTTAAACCCTCGCATACCTATAGATACTTAAAGGTTAATGGCATTTGTGCATAAGGTAAATCTGACTTGTGCACAAGGTGTGCAAACTAGGTCGAATCTACTTGTGCATAAGGTAAACCCTACTTGTGCACAAGGTAAATCCTATTTGTCAACAACCTTCCAAGGGCCTCCCAGGAGCTGACTTGTGTACAAAGCGAATCTGACCTGTGTATAAGGCGAATCCTGGCTTTCCAGGGGCCTCCTACCAGGAGCTTCCCGAGGGTTTCCCTAAGAGGCTTTCAGCCCGAAGGCCTGCCAATGCCTTTTACCGGCACGGAGGATGTGTGACACAGCCCTAAGGCCCTCAGGGTTGGTCAGGGTGGGTCCCCACAAGATGGGCTTCCAGTGTCTGCTCGAAGGATATATCACACAACCCCTAACGGTTGGTTCCAGGGTGGGGTGGGGATGATACGCGACACATTGCTAAAGCAGGCGGAGGCTTATTGCATGTAGTACTATTAGCAGAATCAAGTTGATTGCTATTGAGGTAGATTTCAGCTGGTAAGCTTGGCCTTCCAATAAGACCCAATGATATCCGTAAGCATAAAAATTACCGTTCAAATGACGGTAGCAGGTACAGAAGCACGGTACCTATAGAAGTACGAGGTTTTTTTTAAGCGGGGTATGAGCGGGAGGTTTAAAAAAGCTTCTATATTGTCCTATCCCATTCTTCCGGCGTCTGTTTAGCAGAGCGATGACACAGTATGTCCTGCTGCAAAAATCTATTGCTTTACAGACGACTGTTTAAGACAACCATGACAGGGTATGTGAGCATAAAGTCTCCAAGCTGTGAAGAGACAATGCCGCTCGACGAAAGAGAACGGAGCCGGAAAAAAAAAGGGGAAAACGATATTGATGTCAGGGAATTCTATGGGCGGGTGGGTGTTACTCTGGAACTTGACCTCGTTGCTCTACTAGGGAATGCGCGTACTTGAGATGCAGAACCCTAAACCCTAAACCTAGAATCCTAAACTCTAAACCCTACACCTTGAACCCTGAACCCTGAACCCATTTCCTACTTACCAGAGGTAAGTACAGCGCTGCGGAGCTTTGCCTCGCTAAAAGCAGTGGCAATCGCCGAAGCCAAACCTTGGCTTTTTGGTGTTCAGGGTTTAGGGTTTGAGGTTTGGGGTTTTTGGGTTTGGGATTTTTAGTTTTGGGTTTAGGATTTAGGGTTTATGGTTTTAGGGTTCAGGGTTTAGCCCTCCGACCAGCAGTTTCGAGCACAAAAAGGCGTGTCGAAATGCTGCGCAGGCCAGCATTTTGTGGGTTTTCGGCCCAAAAGAGGCGCGCAGCTCATGCGGTTGTGCGCCCAGCAGCCAGACACTATAGTTGGTCATGGCCAAGCTTCGCTCGAAGCACTTTCCCGGGCGCGCCTTGTTGAAGAGACCTGCCGGTTCTCGAGTCAAAGCCAGTGCGATAACCAGAGCTCCATGCCCAAACCACAATTCCGGCCATGTTCCACGAGCATACAGTGACCAGAGCGTCCAACCATAACTCCGTTCAGGTTCCAAGAGCCTATGGCGACCAGAGCATCCATGTCCAAACCATTATTCCGTTCATCTTTTGATGAGTGCGATAACCAGAGCATCCATACCCAAACCAAAAGGCCGTTCGTGTTGAAAGAGCGTCTCGGGGGTTGGAGTTTGTGGGGTTCCGGCCTCTTGCGATCTAACCTAAAGAAAAACGGTTATATAGTCATTCTAGGGATTCATAGAGGAATGGAAGGAATGGAAACTAACATTTAGGGTTTAGGCGGTGGAGGGAATGGAAATGCAAATGAAACGACTATCAAATGTAAACTGAATTGGACATGAAATGGAAACTAGCGTTATACTTGTTAGGATTATATAGGGATGTAAAGGAGAATGGAGAGAACATGGAAACTAAGTATTGGATTATGTACCGGCTACTGTAGGGATCCATTCCTTCTTTCTTTGCTAAGCAGAGGTAAGAGACGCTCAATGAGCCGCGCGTGTTCGTCGGGCACAGCAGCCACCTAGAACAGATCGCTTCCCTTCTCTCGGCATCTCATGATGACATGTTAGCACCGGGGTCTAGCATGCACGGCATTCTTAGGGAATGACCCGCACCACACTTGGACAGGACAATACTTTGCAATCCGATATACTATGCGCCTTCCCTGCCAATGTATATCGATCTGAAAGCGGCAATGCCAATATCCTGCCAGGACTCAAATGGCAGCTTTCAAGTGCTGCGGTCTTCTTTTGATTTTTCTTCTTCAGCAGATTCTTCGCCTTGCCTTGGGCTGCTTAGGATTCGGTCCACCATTGTGTACACCTGCGCCACCTGTCTGCAGAGACCCAGGCCAAGAAAAACGCTTGTCCGCAAGTCCCAACGCGCCTGACTTACAGCAATGCCCACAACTTCGCCTTCGTGATCAGTAATCACGTCCACACCACGGCCACCAGCGCCTGCTGTTAGCACCAAGTGCTTCTAGCAAAGCGCCTGGTCTTCCTGTCCCACTGAACAGCTTCTCTCTTTGCTATCCCCTGATATACATGACGCAACAGCATCTACTGTTGGTTTTTGTTTTTGGTTGATCCTCCAGTCCCATAATGACCCCCATATAACGCAATATAGACCAATATATTATAGCGCTTATTATGGGGACCCCCAAAACGGTACCCCTCATCATATGAGCTCAACAGGGGCTCCAAAAAGCAAGCAACTCCGGCCTCCTGCGCCGCCTAAGCTCACCTCCAAGACAGCTCTGTGTGTTTGGGGCTTAGGGTTTAGGATTAGAGTTTGGGGTTTAGGGCTTACTGGCTGCGAACTAGAGCCAGCATTGTGATTGTATGTGGTGATATAGGGGGCTGCGTAGTGTGTTTTTTTTGTTAGATTAAAGGTTGCTCAAAACTATTTAGGGTTATGTAGCTCAGAGGCGCCTTATACCCGTCAGTCATGATTGGTGCGGCTACCTGGGTTGAAAGAGCTGCACGGTCTCTGCACAGGGAAAGCACAAGCTGAGGTGCACACCAAGCCTTGGCCGACAGGCTGCTGAACCATTCCTCCATTTAGGGTTCAGGGTTTGTGGTTTAGAGTTTGGGGTTCTTGGTACTGCTGTCGGAATGATTATCATGTCTATTCTTGTTCTTGCCATTATAGTTACTACACTTCGAGTGTGCACGCACTTCTGCAAGTCAGTTCAAAACCAATAAGAGGACTGGGATAACCCCAACCCCCAAACTTAAAGGACCCTAGGAGAACAATCATGCGACCATTAAGAGGACTGGGATAACCCCAACCCCCAAACTTAAAGGACCCTAGGAGAACAATCATGCGACCATAATGAGGTGTTTAAGGTCCTGATTTTGGAGTTCGCACCAAAATCTGACTCTATCTACTCCCTACATAGTCCTGCATAAACTGATATACCCCTATCTAATCCCTATATATCTCCCTACAGAAGCCTCATACATACCCATGTCAGTAATATGTCAACACTCCGCGGATGACACGATTCGTGGCTCCAGCGTCTTCTTGGACAGAAGCTAACAGCATTGAACAGGGCGTACAGCATTGAAGAAACCCTGAACCTGAACCGCTAAACCCTACCTATATATACACACACACACACATCTTACATGTGCATACGCAGATATATATATATATATGTACATGTATATAATAGGTCAGTGAACCAATACATATATATATATATATCATATATATAGATATGCATTATAACATTTTTGATTTTTTTGCATATGGTGTGTGAATTGCGGTTTTCTGGTTTTGCACGTACGTTTTAGGGGTCCCTGCAAAGAAAAAAGGATCTGAATGTTCTGGGCTCGTTATTATGGTCCCCTAATGTTTAGTAACTGCTTGGTCCCCCCCCCCCCAACCTAAACTCCAAACCCCAAACCCTAAACCCTGAACCTTAAACCCGAAACCCCCAACCCTAAACCCCAAACCCTAAGCCCTAGACCAGGAGAAAAAAGAAACTCTGCCTTGCCCGAGGGCAGTGTGGAGGCCACTACAGCCCGGCTTTCTTGCAAACGCTGCACATGCGAGGGATATATGTATAGATTTATAGAAATATATGTGTATATGTATACATACATATATGTATATATATATGTATAAATACATATATGTAGAGGTACATATGTATGTATATGTATATACATATGTACATATGTATATGTACATATATGCATATGGAGGTTTCCAAAAATTAGGGGTCCCCATAATCAGGAAGGTAGTCTTTTGAGGTATGTGTTGAGCCCGCTTTGGAAATTCACATATGACGTTTAGGGTTCATGTAAGAGGAATCAGATGGTGATTATATAGGGATTACATGGGAACTATGTAGGGATTTCGGGAAGGTTATTTGGGGAATGCATAGAGGATGAAACCAACAATGGAGACTCAAGTGGAAAAGAGAAAATTGAGACCACAACGGATGTTTAGATATCTATGTCTACGTTGGGGCCCCATACTAAGGATTATAGCATATTGAGCTCAATATCGGGGTCACTGTTTCCCATTGCAGGCTTGACTGGCATTCAGGGCTGCCAAAGAGCTCGCCCAACACCCTTTGATTAAGGACTGCACCCCAGATTAGATTAAGGATCCTAATGTCATGTAGGGCATGCTGCTTGATCAAGGTGTGTTGGGCTCTCTGGAAAAGTCAGTGTTTCATTGTTTCGCCTGAAAAAAGGCGCCAGTTCCGAAGCACAAATCCAGCCTTTGTGGATACTCCCCCCAATTTCCAGCATCCAGCTTGTGTGGTGCAGATCCCCTAAACTTCATGCAGCAAACACCCGTCGGAACCCTTATGATCCAGGTATACCCCTCAGCATGGGCGTAATCATGAGCATGATGAACACAAAGACTAATGCAACACGAATGCTTGCAGGTGCCTGCGTGTGTCCTGAATGCTTGACAGTTTACGGTTCAATATGATGGCCCCTTCCTGAAGGGGGTGGTCCAGACTGATATGGGACAGTGAAATGCTGAAGCTGCCAAGTTTCAACACTACCAAGGAAGACCCTAAACCCTATACCCTACACATCTCTGCAAAAGAAAAACCTGAAGCACCTAAACCCCGAAGCCCTTCAAGGCCGAGCAGGCGTGCAAAAGAACGAGGCAGGGTGGGAGACGTAGTGCCAAATCTTGCTGATCATTCGTGGGTAAAAAAGGAATGGAAACAAGAAACTACCATATTATTGGGCCCCACATGGGGGGAGAATTGTTGTTGAGTTGTTGCTTCGTCCGCACACCGCTTGGGCTGTATGTCTGCAACTCCTTTTACATGCTGCCAATCACCAAAACAAATGGATTCCGATTTTGTAGCCAATACATGCTCCCAAAAAAATGTAGCAATGACAAATTCTTTTCCATGCCTTTATTCCCTACGAACAATCAACAAGATAAACTTCAGTGCGTTCAGGTTGTCTCGGGCAAGACCAAGTGGCCAGGGTGCTTGAAGAATTGTTTCGAAGACCGTTGAGGAGTAGCGCTTCAAGCGCCCAAATCCTTTTATTTCACAGTTGCGGTGGTCAGGCCAGTGTTAACGGAGACATGTGTCTGAAGTGCAGGGCGGTATGCAGGCTGACTTCAACATCAGAGCCGCTCATGTGCCGCTTACAGACTGACACAATTATGAGGATAAGCAACTTCTGGTGTTGTGATGAAGTCAACAGGGCCTCGTTTGCCGAAGTACTCAATATTCTAATGTGGCCTCGCCCGGTCGTGCGCAGGTAGTGTTGTTGGTGGCAGGTGCTTTTGCAAATGTGCCGCCAGCACTATTTGGGCAAACTGTCCATACCTGTACTGTACTAGACTTCATGTCATGGACTTGCGCAAGCCCGCAGCGGTACTGGTTCGTCACTGCAGCTTGGGGATCATGGAGACTCACGCTGTTCTCTTCCACTTTCCAAACAAACAGCCATGTGCTCGCGCCTAATACCCACGATTGGAAGAGTTGCGGGTGTGTAGTCGGAAAAAGAGAAGGCAAACCTGCTTTTCAAGCAAGCAGCCATAGGAAGTCAGCGTTCTGGTACCCAAAGATGCAGCTGTGGAGCCTGGGCCTCATTGTGTTACCTTGTGGAAAGTCATCGTATGTTGTACTGACAATACTTCCTTGTCACATCGCTGCGCGATGCATAGCGCGTGACAGGTGGATGGCAAATGCTTTCCGATTTTCTGTGACAGCATTTTCTGATCAGGAACGGTGCCTGAATGCGCCTCGCCTGCGCGTGGGGCCTATAAAGCTGTCCAATGCTTGGCATCTCAGTGGCCTTGTATCAAAGCACAGCAGCCTGCACATGGAGAACGTTGCACCCGGGTGCGAGTTTGTGAGCTTGTTGCAGAGCTGCAAAAAGATTCCGAGTGTTTTCACATTGGAACGACCGCCATGTGTCCAACTAGGCCATGAGCAGGGTTCAATTTGCCGTCGTAGCCACAATCCCAGGCCGAGTGCCAAAGATACTGAGACAAGATAACATGGCACTCCAGAACTTATCCTGTCGACCAAAGCTGTGTGAAGAGTAAAGAAGTCAAGCACCCTGGGCTGTGCACCAGCTTCACCATAATCACAGTGTCCATTTCATTTTCCATACTGTTCTTACATTTGCCCACCAACAGTGCTTTTGTTCATACTGTCCCTGTGCTGCTCCTGGGGCGCTACCGAGCTTGGAACAGTGAATTAGCATCTCATGCATGTTGTATTCCTTTGAGTGTTTGGCAATGTGCATACAAGGCAGCACTCACTTAACAATGCGCTCAGGTCGCGGTCTGTAGTCTGCCATCTCTGGCTTCTGCCGTAACGATGGTCCTAGCACATCTTGCAAGGCAGCACGCAGCAAAAAACGGCTTGAACACTTAAAGCTTCCTGAACATCTACTGTGGCATGGGCCATACGTACATATGCAGGAACGTATGATGATTTTGCAGCTGGCCGCGCTCCTTGACAGAAGCTCCTGCAGCTGAGAATCGAGCTGATTGCCTCCAGGACTCACACTAGTGCATCCGATCCTGGTTTTCACAAATAAGGTGATGCTTAGGAGCTGCGGTCCTCCGCAGTTTCTCACTGTTCTAAAGCAGCATAGAGCGGGCCTTCGGCAGCAGCCTGCACCTCAACTTCATGGAGCTTCTCCACGGCCTCCACGGGACCTCAGGCATGTCAAAACACGACAGGACAGCAAAGCCTGACCAAAGAGTCTTTAAGCCAATTGCGGAAGGGTCCCGCTGCCACCTTTCGAGAATTGTACGGGCTGACCTGCGCAGCGCCCGTGTTTGCAGAATACTTCTCAGGTCGAAATTGGCATCAGAAGCTCTGCAGCGCACCAGTCCCTCCCGTGCGATGCCAACTTGCCCGGCAGAATTCCTCGGATTTGGACAGTCTTCGAACCGATGCAACTACTTGAATCTGAGATAAGTAACAAAAAGCCGTTCAGGAAATCTTGAATCTCAAACTTGTAGAAGCAGAAGCATCGTAGTGTGGTTTTAAAGTACCTGATAGGAGCCACGACGCCAAAAGCGGCACGAACATGAAAACACGACGCGCAGACGCGGCGCGAGGAAACAAGACTAAGTCACAACAACAAACGTCAACAATGGAAGTCCATCACAAGCATTGCTACGCGATTTCTTGCACTTTCGAAACGCTGTGCGGGCAACTGCAAATGATTGCCAAACGCTTTAGGGCACGTTGTCGCGATAGCCCGAGATCCCAACACTTTCAGCAAGGAATCTTTTGCTGTGCGGTCGAGAAAGCAGAGCCTTAATAGAAGGCAATGCAATCTTTTTCTGTACTCAGAAAATTCTGGTTTCATATCGGGAGCTGCCATTTGAAAGCTCAGCTATTTCTTGAAGGACTGGGGAGCCTGAAACCTCATGCACAAACTGACAGTTGAACATTGCAGGAGCTTGAACCAAGAAACTCTTCATTGAAAAAATCAGTTTGGGGGCATCATAAAATGTTGGGTGAATTTTTCAAAAGCATAGCAGCCGGACTGATCAGCTCATTCCTTTTGCTGAGTTTCTTCGCGCTTTGCTCCACCGGGCTCCTACTAACTTCGATCTACCATACGCACCGCTTTGGTTTCGTGAAACTTCCCTTCTCAACAAGAGGCCTGTGTGCAATCGGGATCGTTCTGCAGTGAAGGTGCAATGCAACAAGCCAGCGCATCAGAAGTTGAGCACATCACCAACGCGATCATGGCAAGTCGTTGCGTGCTTCACAATTCAGAAGTTACTGCACGCTACTCATGGCTGTCAGTTTCCGGTTAGCCTCTCTGGCCCAAGAAATCGATTCGTGCCCATACTAAAATGTTAATGGGTCGGCCCATTTTTGCTTAGTCGTTGACCCGATGAGGCCTTCGGGAAGCACTTTATCTCAAGTCGCCCGTTCTCATTGAAGCACGCCCAGGGCCAGTACCCATCTTCCTTGCGCCCCAGAACTATGACACCAAGAGGGCTTAGTTTCTTATCGCGCGATTGCATTTCCCGCTGGCTTTCAGGTCACTGAAGGCGTGCACCAAAACACAAAACAATGCGCGACTGAATCCTTGGATAAGTTTAAGGCCAGAACCTGAGGAATTCCTGTTGGAGGCGGCTCTCTCCGGGGCTCTGAATCAGGAAATCTTGGAGGCCTCTTACCCATGGATTGGTGGCTGCATCAGCTTTTGGCAGCTATGGGGTGATAGATATCCTTAAACTCCAAACCTCAAAAAAGGCTGCAGTTTCGGCTCAATGTCTGAAATACAACTTCTTTAAAGAAGTCGTTCAGAAACTTACTTCCAGCCCACCTGGATGTACCTGGGTTGGGCGCTTAGGGTAAATTCAAGATAAAGAAATATGGGGTACCGCGGCCTACGGCATGTCAGTCTAAGTTGACTCAAAACTGTCGTCCTGCAGTGGCTCCCTCAAACCTTGCATATCGCGACTATACCCCCCCATATGCCCCTAGCTAACCCTGTATAATCCTCTATATACAGATATATGCTTACATGCCTATATTTATAGATACCTATGTATATATACATATGTGTATATATATATCTGCAAATATAGACAAATAAATATATATATATACACATAAGATATATACGTACCCCCACACATCTTTAGCTTAAGGACCTGGCCTTTCTTCGAAACGCGGCTCAGTACCTCAACAGAGAACGCAGGTGCTACCGTAGAAGCCAATATACCATTGGGCAGTACTAGTGGAAAAGAAAATGGAAACTACTACTTAGGGTTTAGGGTTTTAGAGTTTAGGGTTTAGGGTTCAGGGTTTAGGGTTTAGGTGGACCCCCCGCCCCTGTAATAGTGGTACGATGGGGATATAAGAGGACCCCAATGGAATCACCATTACCCTGAAGGTTCCCCCTTACCCAGGCTTGTGCTTGTTTAGGACTCATTAAGAAAATAGGGGGGAACTTGGGGGGCACTCTAGATTGGAACCCTAAACCCGAAACCCAATAGGGACTCACTTTCAAGCATCAATCAAGTCAGCAGCTTGGGTTCTAGCGCCCATACGAAGCAAGAGCAGGCAAGGCCTGGCAACTTCAGCGCTTCAACAACAACGAGGGGTATAACGGATTGACTTTTTACTGCGGAGCTTGAGTATGGAAATCTAAGAATCTAAGGGATCTATGAAGGTAGGGATGTAGAGGGAGTGGACGAGAAAGTGGAAGATCCTACAGTTTAAGGTTTATACATTTTCTGGACCCGTTCATTCTTACTGGCTACTAAACGCTAAACCCTGAGCTCTACAGCCTAAAATTCTCAATCCCAAGTCCTAAACACGAAGCCCCAAACCATTCTCAAACCCTAAGCTCTAAACCCCAAATCCTAGACCCCAAGCCCCAAACCCTAGACCCCAAGTCCTACACCCTAAACCCCACAATCTAAACCCTAAGTCCCCAATCCTAAAACACTTGAGAGCCACGGGCTGGGACGCAAGCTCGACAGCGGACAGGGCTTGGGACTCAGGTCTCGAGACATAAGGACGTTGCAAGCAGTACTGGCAAGCTATGTTTTTTGCACGCTTGCCGGCGGCAAGGCGTCTGCCCATGATGAGCTCAAGACCAACCCAGAAGCCCCCCAACAATCCCCTCAAGATCGCCCCCAGATCCTCCAGAAATGCACCCAAGATCCCCTCAAAACTGCTCTAGCATAACCTGCAAGGATCTAGCCCGAAAAGGCCTCCCGCGCCAACACCCGAAAATCCGCCCTGCGGTACAGCTCCCACACGGGGAGCTTTCGTGACAAGCCCTTAACCAAAAACCCCAATCCTGGACCCCAGGCCCCAAACCCTAAACCCCAAACCACGAGCCTTGAACCCCAAAACCTGAACCCTAAACCGAATGGCCTCCGTCTGTTCTGCAACACCAACAGCGCCACTGAGCCACGACATGAATCCACGCACGGAGGTGGCCTCACTATGAGGGAGGATTTTGGTTTGGGGTTTAGGGTTTAAGATTTAGGGTTTAGGGTTAAGGGTCTTAGGTTTAGGGTTTAGGGTGGATTGGGGGACTTAGTACCTGGGAAGAATTATAGGGCTTAGGAATATTACCCCCCAAATATGGAGAATCAGATGGCAAAAATTGAAAATGAAATGGAAACTGGGATAGGAACGGACATATAAGTATATGGCGGTTATGTAGGTGATCAGTATACTTACTGAGTCCTCCGGGTGGGATGTCTCCGCATGGAACCCTCAACCCTAAGCCTTTAAACCCTAACCCCTAAACTCTTAAACCCTTAAACCTTAAACCCTAAACCCTATAAAACCCCTTGAACCCTAAACCCCTAAACCCTAAACCCTTGAAACGCAAAGTCTGCAGGCTGTCAGGCAAATGGCCTTCTGCTTCGGCTGCGGAACCATTGCTGTTGGACCTCTGATGGTGATGAAGCCCGACATAACCCCCACATGTCTTATGAGCTTAATGGTCCCTTAATGAGGTTAACTAATATTGACAGTAGCTGATATAACCCTTACATATCCCAGTTTCCATGTAATTTTCCATTGTCTTTTCAAACTTGTTCTCCAGTAGTGACCGGATGCGGCAAGCAGGTGAGCAGAGCGCAAAGCCTGCAGAATCGTTGCGTCCGTCAGCCTCAAGCATGTCTCCACACTCTACGCGCCTGTGGCATATGTCAGTAGCAGTAGAACAGGCCTTCGGCAGCCTGGAGGCAAATATTATGTCCTTCATGGTGGCAGTTGTGACCCTCAAGGATATGACGCCTGCATGAGTCAAACTCTCCTGGCTGATTAGAGGGAATATTGTTAGCATGAACGCGTAGCACTCACCATGTCCTGGAGCCACTGGTAGCGAGGATCTATGAGCCCGTCATTGAACCTGTGGAGTTTTTGAATACTGTTTGCATGCACAAGCTGGATGCGAGTAGGAAACACTCGCTGCCGTTCCAGAAGCATCTGTCCATCCTGGCGACTCCACGCCCATTCAGTCTCACTGCTACACACTGCCACAGCCTCTATGGTGAAGGCTTCCAGCGGGACCTCGCGGTAAATGGTTAGTATAGGGTTTAGGGTGAATGCAAACACTCTGGTCATGCTGATCCGAGGCGGGCACGGAGTATCCAGAGGGAAGTCCTTTCTGCAGCTGTCTGAAGATTCAAGTCAAATGGGGGGGGTTCTGAAACAAGGGGCCCCAAATATGAAAGTCCTTTATGTTGGCCTCCCAAAAAACGGCCGTCATCATTAATTTATGGAAGCACACTGATGTTACTCAGCATTCTGTTTGAGGGTCTGTCTGCTCTGTAGCGTAATTCCGGTTGACACTAAAAGTCTTGCATGGCCCCAAGTACCTTCTACCTTGGGAATTATGGTATCCTAATATACCAAGGTCATGCAGGAATTTCTGTATCAACAGTAGCACGAACTGGCACAAGCTTGGCTTCAAAAACAGCAGGTCATTCCCCCTCGCAACAACAGTTTCCACAATTGGTAATAGGAGTAGACATAGGAAGATCCCTGAAGGACAGTTGCTGCGCATGGGAAATCATGCAGCGGATTGGCACACTAAACCCTAAACCCCAAA